TTTACTGAAGATCTTCAAATCTTACGAACTTTACAGAATACGGCAATTGATTTTGACTGATACGGACTGATATGGATTGATTTGTGAAAGCAAAAGAACTATAAAAGGAAACCACAGAGTTGAAAGTCAAAATACTGGAAAAGGATCTTAAGAAGATAAGGTACGTAAGATTATAAAACCTGAATTGTTCAGTCAGCTCAGAACTTGGAAAAATGATGTTTTACACTCCTGGCTGCTTTTCAATCTACACAGTTTACAAATACATGTAATAAAACCTTGCTAAAACTTCTAACGAAAGATATCCGAATAAGAACTATGGGATTTTCAGTCAGTGATAGCAGATAATTGACATGAGTGTAAACCGTATGTCAGTCCATTTCGCCGATTAAGCCAAGCTAGAGGTGATAACCATGGCCTCTAAAACTCTACATTTTTACATAGTGTCAAATACCGAATTTGAAACCCTTACTTATTTGGTAGTTTTTATAAGCGAAAGAGCATGCTGATCAGCTGTTCAAGACAAACATGACTGAGCATTTGCCGTAAGGGACGAGTCCTTTTTGCATCGCCTTTACGTTTGCATATGCTGCCAATCTCTCCGTTTTAACAGGAGAAAATACAAAAATGTAGTACACAGTATAATGAACAGTTCCAGTTCTGAGGTTAGAAATAACTTGACGGCACTAAGCCACATCATGATTCAACTTATTTCAATTGTAATCAGTTTTGTCCTCAGTGTTGCCTTTGTTTATTTTCATAAGAAAATTACAGTGTTTCGAAAGTTGATTAAAGTTTCCTCAGTACCCTGTAATTATTATAAAAACATGTGAAATTAAACATCTTAAATCATTAAAGCTGTTTAAGGCATCGTTCTCTTAAACCGTACTCTACCGAAGCTAAGGTACACCAACGGCTTTAAATATTCAGAGAGATACAAATATCATGGATTGAAATTAGCGACTTCTGACAAACTGTGCACTAATTTAAGGGGTGGCGAATGGTCCTTCAAAAACTCTGGGTCTCGCAAAATTTTAGTCGAATTTCATGGGTCTCGCAGTCTCGTTGTTTTAGCGGTTATGTGCTTCTCGCAGTCTCGATTTTTATACGAAGCTCTCTCGGAGTCTCGACTTTTTGCAAGGTTAAGGGTTTCGAGGTTCCGATTCGTTTGTTTGTTTTAATAAATGACATCTTCTCGTCACTTGATATTGAATTTCAATAAAGCAACTTTCAAATTTCCGAGAAAAAGTTTTAATCCCAACTTCTGCCAAATTGTCTGAATTCCACAAAAAGCTACAAAACTTACCGCAACGTCATTTTGGCGCCAAAAAAACAGTTATTTTGTTCCAGGATATCCTAACGTAGTGTGTTATAGTCGAATTTCCAGTTCCAGCTCGNAACTTACCGCAACGTCATTTTGGCGCCAAAAAAACAGTTATTTTGTTCCAGGATATCCTAACGTAGTGTGTTATAGTCGAATTTCCAGTTCCAGCTCGTTCGCAAAGGCTGGCTAAAAGGGGAATCAAGAAACCACACACAACCCACGATAGCTCATGATGAAACCCACGAAGTCGAAGAACTTATCTGTTGTCCCCTGTGGAACTCTGTAAAGGCACAAGTATTTACGACAAAAGGCTCCTTTGTAAGACTTCTGTACAAGCTCATTCTCGCTCATTCTTATATCTCCCAACTAAATCTGGGGCTCAAATTTTAAGCGTCTGAGGCCCTCGCGCTCGCACTCAAAACACTTTGAAGTCTCGGTCTTACAATCTAAAAAGTCTATATGTCTCGGGCTCGCAAAGAAAGGCGCTAGTCTTGCCGTCTCGCAAAGTCTCGCATTTACCACTCACCACCCCTAATTTAAGATTTGCTTGCCGAGCGGCAACCTCGCTGGACGAGACTCCGCATAAAGAAAATTAAAAACACAAAACAAAGTCGAAAAACTCTTCTTTTTTGTCGTCACTAGGGAGTGTCTCTTTAGCCAGAGGATGAAGGTGTACATACGACAAACACAAGAGAAAAATTGTGTTGAAATGTTGAAATGTTATGACGAATTGACAGTTGATTGAAGTGCTAGCTGTAGTTACTTGATCTCTTAATTAAAAAATACCCCGTAAGAACGTGCGAGCTAAAACCTGTTCTTCTGTTTCACAATCAATAGATTATGAGCTCGAGATTTACGAGGCCGAAGCTCTCATCAACTGTCACTTCATTGACATAGAAATCCAGAGCAGATCTAATTGTTTTGTTTACTTCCTCGTGCTATTTTCAAGCAGAAATCGACAAGACTTTCCGTCGTTATATCCATTTTTACTGTAGTCCGATGTTTGACATCATTTTTTTTGCGCTTTTCCGAAGTGAGATGGTCTTCAGTTTACCTCATACCTCAGGCAAGACCGATGTTTAATTAGGGGTGGGGAAAACTCCTTCAAAAAGCACAGCTCTCGCAAAATTTTCGTCAAATTTCAAGGGTCTCGCAGACTCGTGTTTTCAGCGACTATGAGCGTCTCGCGGTCTGGATTTTTTCACAAAGCTGTCTCAGTCTCGATTTTTGCAAGGCTAAGAAAGTCTCGAAATGCCGATTTGTTTGTTTTCTTTTTGAAAAAAGACGTCTGAACGACTTGAGCTCGCATTTAAAGCACTTTGAAGGCTCGGTCTTGCAACTGTAGAAGTCGAAATGTATCGGGCTTGCAGATAAAAACGCTAGTCTCCCCCCCTCGAAAAGTCTCGCTTTTACCATTCACCACCCTTTTATTTCCTTTACTGTTTGAATATTCAGCTGACATTCAAAATACAGTTCAAATTTCTTCAAAATATTTCAAAAGGTCTTCTTCAAGTTTCTTCTTTCGAATTCTTGCGGCTTTGCAGGGATGATATGTTAATTCTTAGTCCATATTTTGTATTTAGTGGACGTTAAAATTTCACTCAGTCTTTGTCAGGTAACAGGTGTTCTTTTGCTTGTTTATCGTTACCAAGGTGCATTTCGTTTTATTAGCTTAGTGTGGGAATTACGTTTGTTTCATTTAGCGTGTGGGTGTTGGACATACAAACCGATTTCCTTATTTTTCTTTAAAGTTGACGGAGGCATTATTGCAGAAAACAAACTACATGTACATTGAATTGTGGAGAAAACAATCTACAAAACTACAGAACTCCGTCCTTCCTTGATACTCAGGTTTACGAGCCAGAAGAGAGAGAGAGGCTGCGCGATTTTCAACATCTGCTGCCGAACATTCGATATCCTGCTACTGACTGCAAGTATCTGAAAAAAAAAGTTTGTGTTTTCTACCGATACGTATTTTTAAAAAACCGTCTCTAGGTATAGCTTGTCATTGATTCTAACTACAACAGCTTCCATAACTTTACAAATTTCATCTCGGTCCCAAGATTCGTGTTTAATGATGTTGCAAATATTTCAAAAGGTCAAGCTTTCTTCGAGCCATATCGTAAGGTTAAGAAACGTTGCGGAGGAACAATGGAAATGAAAGGCCACATTTTGATCCGTTTTCACAATAGAGAATTCCTCTTTCATAAAAGTTGCGTCCGCTAAGAACTTCCCGATAGGGAATTCATCTCGCTTGTAAACGTCTATCTTGCAATAGGCTTTTAGCTTTAACCAAAAGAAGATCTTCTTTCATTTGTTTAATTAATTAAACAAGGCCGGTAATTAAGCCTGCCTTCTGTTACTCGTTGTTTTCGCCGGAGGTTTTCCGAGAATCTGTCTCATTTTATATATTTGACAAACCTTATGCTAGAGTTTTTCTCTACAGCAAGTCACTTCTGGAGCTGGCTGTTTTTTCTGAACGTTATTTATTACAGCTATCTTTTATTAGCCTTAATGAATTAGTATCTTTCGGTAACTGTATTTACAAACAACATCTCTAAAGAAGGCCAAAAAGCGGCCAGCACTGCCACTCAACATGGCATAGCTGTCAAAAGAAGAACAATTCATTTAGGGATGTCATTGTATTACACACTTTTTAATTTCGCGAACAAGAAAAAGAACAAATTATCCATTCATACCTGTTGGATGTATTAGTTCGTCTCCTCACTATTGTTACACAATATTCAAGTTATCCCGCAAATGTTTTTTTCCCTTTAAAGAAAACCTTTCGTGATTAACGTACCGCGATCTACACAAGCATTCCTTCAAAGAGGAGTTTCAATTTGTTAGTTTTCATGCATTTTACGCTGAAAGATTTTGAGAAGCCTCACGAGAAACACAAATGGAAGGAAAAATAGAAAAGTTGAAAATGCAATCAATTTACATGTAATAGTTTTACATGAAAACTGCTAACGGATGATAGCGGTGAGGTAATGTGTTTCACTCAACTTAGTCACTCCGGTTCCAAGGAACCTGCTCCAATATTGTTGTCGCTTTGTCACATTTAACTCGTGAATATGCTAAAAGGGGCAGTTATACGGTCAATTTAGACACTTTTCTAACGTGCATGTAACTGACCTCAGACCTTCAAATCGAAGAAACCTTGAAATAACAGCCAACCAAGATGGAGAAACAGAGGAAGCAATTAATTGAGCAAAAAACAAGGATGCCTACAATTGAGCTTAAGATGGATTGTAATTAACAAACTTAAAAAGCTGCGTCATCCCCGAAATTGCTGCTAGCCATCAACTGAAAATCAGGCTTTTCCAATAAATGTCTAATTGTAAACTGGATAAGTAAATTCAGATGATTTGAGTAAACGAAGTGACATCATTTGATTGACTTGAAAAAGGCAGCGACAGGAGAATGACGCCACAACAAGTTCCATAAACAACGCAGGGTAAATTGTAACTTTAAAAACTTGCTACATGCTAATATATATGGCAGCGTTAATATACTACGTTCTGAATTTGTACCAAAACCTCAATAGATAGACACCTTCATTGAATTATATCAGAGTGGCCCCCTTCAAAAAAGCAATATCGACTGGTATCCACAGAGTCACTGATAAAAATTACATAAGAACTTTAAATTAAAAATTAAAAATATAGTTACTAATAAAAAGCGCTAAAAAAGAGATGCCAAAAGAAATAAACAAAAAATTGAAATAAAACAATACATAATATGTAGACTTAACCTATTGAAAATTTAACACCATAATCATAATTGCAGGAGTTCTTAGCAAATTCTGCTGACAAACCCACGGTAGGTGAAACTAGTTGTTTCACCTGGGTGTGCGATTATGAAAAGGTGGTTAAAAATAAATAATTAAGAAACTATAGGCAATGTACATGACTTTTCATTTGATGCAGCTTTACACAAGCTGGCATACTGCTGATTATCAAGCCTACTCTGCAGACTGAACCATTTCAGAATTTTTAGTCATGTCCCTCTCCTGAAATCTCAGTCAAGCGTTAATCAGCGACAAATGTTGACAGAAAGCTATGATCTGAAGCTGAAGTTACCAGTTATAGTTATTTTACAAATTTGATTCATCTTCTGATCTTTTTTCAGATTGGGAAACATGCTAGTTACCAGGTTCTTCCGTTCCCTAGTGGCACTTGCTATGCTGCCTTACTGGTCAGCGTACTCAACTGAACTTGGTAAATAGTTCGATGGTTCGTCCAGTGCAGGTCTAGTGCAGGTCTAGTGCAGGTCTAGTGTGATCGTTAGTTGCGCGAGGGTAGGCAGACGTTTATACTTCAGAGAGTTCTTGTTTTTGGTCATTTCGTATCTCACTGATTTTTGGATCGTGCACTGCAATTAACTGACCAAGTAACCAGTCGCCAAGTAATGCGCCAAGTAGATAAAGATAAACTTGAGAATCAGGGTCGTAAATCTCCAAAAGTGAATTCAACATTTAAATTGATATCACTGTGTTAACGTGTTTTTCCTTTTGGCTCGATCGAATCACATCGTCAAGGCTAGGCGTAAACGTCCCTATTGTTCATTTAACTTTCTCTGATGGTCGAGCTAATACAAATGCTATTCCCATTTGTTTTTCATTCAGAGGTCAAGACAATTGAGCTGAGCGGAGATATAATAATGGGAGGACTCTTTCCAATTCACCAAAGAAGTAAGCAGACAGAGAATGCTTGTGGTGTTATTGATCTTCAACCTGGATTCCAGTACTTGGCCGCCATGTTATTTGCCATTGAGGAAATCAATAACGACCCGAACCTGCTCCCGAACATAACACTCGGTACGAAAATCTACGACACTTGCCGAAGTCAAACAATTGCTGCTGACCGTGCGAAAGACATAATAAAATACACTCTTGTGGATCAAGATGCGCCATTAGCAGGAGTTATTGGACCTTTTGTTAGCGATGTTTCCATAGCAGTGGCAAACTTACTGCGTGTGTTTGACATCCCTCAGGTCAGTTATGGATCAACTAGCGCGGATTTAAGCAACAAGGAGATTTTCAGCTACTTTTTTCGCACCGTTCCACCTGATTCCTTTCAAGCACACGCTCTTGTCGATGTTATCAAAGAGTACAACTGGGACTACATATTTACCATCAACTCCCACGGGAATTATGGGCAGAAAGGAATGGCTGAACTACGGAAGGCTGCAGACGCCGCAGGCATCTGTGTCGCAGACGCTGCTCAACTTCCAAGTCTCCCAAAAGATGAAGATTTTAATGAGGTTATTAAGAACATGGTCATAAGGAGAAGAGAAAGTTCAAATTCTGTAAACACTATTGTGCTGTTTACAACCCACGCCGACTCTGCTGATTTACTCCGCGCAGCTAAAGAGGCTGGGGCGACCCAATTTACCTGGGTTGGGAGCAACGGCTGGAGCAATCGTTTTGACGTCACAAACGGAAATGAAGAAGTCGCAGACGGCTCCCTAACTGTCAATCATCTTGAAGGAGAGATCCCGCGATTCCAGAAACACTTTAAGAATTTAAAACCAAGTAACAACAAGTTTAATCCTTGGTTTGTCGAATTCTGGGAAGAAATAATGAAATGCAATATCCCTGGAGCAAACGGAAGCGTTGCAAATATGTCAAGATCTTGCAGGAGCGATGAAACATTACCTTCTGGAATGGAAATGGCGCCTGTGCGAGTGGTGATCAATGCAGTCTATGCTATGGCGCATGCGCTGCATAATCTTCAACAACACTACTGTCCAGGGGTGAACGGCATCTGCGTCAACATGACCAAAGAGTTTCAAAGAGAGAAATTGCTTACATTTCTAAGAAACGTGACCTTTTTAGATTCTGCTTTAAACGTCACCATTCGTTTCAATCAAAATCAAGAAATAGATGGTGTATATGACATTAAAAACTTCCAAAATGAGGATGGTGGAGACTGGAAATACAACAATATTGGAAATTGGCAAGGGCAATTGTTCCCGGATAATAAAATCCAAGGAATGCTGAAAGTAAATAATTCTCTGCTACGCTGGGGCAGACATAAGGCGCATCCTCCTACGTCATTTTGTAGCAAGCCTTGCAATGATTCACAGATACACAAACCAAGAAAACGAGATCCTAAGTGTTGCTGGGACTGTATAAACTGCAAGGACAACGACATCATCAAAAATGACACCTGTCAATCATGTCCAATAGGTTACTCACCTAGTGAAAACCTGGTTTTCTGTGCAAAGCTACCTGTGCTGTATCCAAAGTGGTCAAGCACTCCTATCGTAACCTTCACTGTTATTACAATCTTAGGAATGCTAGGCACGTTAACCACAGTGGCGTTATTCATAAAGCATAGAAGTCACAGTTTTATCAAAGCAGCTGGCAGGGAGTTAAGCGCCATTTTGTTTTTAGGGGTGATGCTTTGTTACGTAACACCGTTCACATTTTTTGGCCAACCGACCGACAGGCTTTGCGGCGTGCGGCGTTTTCTTGAAAGTGTGAGCTTTACCGCATGCTATGCTCCTGTACTCATGAAGACAATTCGTATATACCGAATCTTCCAAAGCGCCAAGAGCTCAGTCACCCGGCCTTCACTCACCCGGCCTGGATCACAGGTCCTTATTTCCATAGGGCTGATAGTAGTACAGCTATTGCTCACCACTTTGTGGTACATTTCTGATGTCCCCAGGGCCCAGGAAGTGTACCCCTCTCAGGGCATTGTTATTGTCCAGTGCGCAGTCAACGAATTTACATTAGCAGTAAATATTTGCTACAACTTTCTTCTAATGTTCTTATGTACTATCTTTGCATTCAAGACGCGAAATTTTCCAAGGAATTTCAACGAGGCAAAGTGCATTGGTATCAGCATGTACCTCACCTGTTCCGTGTGGATCATCTTCCTTCCATCTTATTTAAACACGTCCGACGCTTTCATTCGTGTGTATTTAAGCTGCGCGACTTTCATTGTGCTCGGTACCATAACTCTGTGCGGTTTGCTGGTTCCCAAAGTAATCATTCTTTTCTTCACAAATGGCCAACCCCCTAACGTCACTGAAAGCTATACTGTGCCTGCTCCGCTAGGGAACACGGGAAACCGCATGCTAAGTAGCGCGGTTGCGGGTTCACAGTTGCAATGGGGTCACTCTCTCAAGAGGTGTGCAAGGCCGCTCAAGGAACCGCCACCCACTCAATCTCACACTGGGAGCTCCATAGGTACAAGCACATCCAACTTACACAAAGTTTCTACAGAATTAGCGGCGGCTTAGAGTTTACTGGTTCATTGGTAGTTATAGGAACCATTTCACAGCAAGACCGACCTTAACCGCAAACTACATATATAACAACTGTTTACTAAGAGACGAATGATGATTTCATTTTTCGCGGTGTATAAAATGGCTTTCACATCGAAGAAAACGAGTCTGAATATGACGAAAACACTACAGAAACGCGCCATGACTGAAGTAGTTTGGTTACAGTCGTTAGATATAGAATATGACAAGGAAAGTGCTCAGGTAACAAGTGAAAGATTATGTTCAAAAATCGTCACTTTCCATCAGCTTGTTATCTTTATTTCTTATCTTAAAATCAACTGCGCTGATTCCCTTCGAGTTACATACACCAAGACTTCAACACACCGAAACTATAGCTCCACAATTACCCATGCGTGTATTCTCTCAAGTAGCGCAGGTTAGGAGAGTTTTTTTCTCAACAAGGTGTTTAACTTGACTGTTCAGCTGTTGTTACTTATAAAAAAAAAATGACCAGTGTTCGAAATTCAGTACACCCTGCTTTTTGTTCGAGTAATTTACCATCTTGGTTCTTAGGCCAATGAATTCATTAAACCCATACAATTCCTGTACTATCTCAGTTCTCCTTTTAAAATATACTTAACTTTGATTGACAGTATTTCCTGTTCTGCAATTTATTTTGTATCACGAAGCAATGAAATTCACGCCACGAAAGCATCACGTTGGCGTAAGAAATCAAGCGAGCTATATTTCAAGCTGTAAATAAGTGGCTATGTACATTGGAAAACGATTGAATATATTATTGTTAAGGGTCCGTCCACAGTATGCCGGAGCAATTTGAAAACGCAACAATCACCGGTCACCTTTGGATTTTGGATTGAGTACAACTCGGTCAGAGAAATCACATCATTATCGTGACGTCATCATTGTTTTCAAAATGTTTTCCGTCTACATTAAAACGCAAAGCAGGCGTTTTCAAATTCCTCCGGTTTTCAAAGCGTTTTTGAAAAGCTCTGTTTTCGTGACGGATTATTGAGTGTGGACGGTAGGCCTAACCGTAGAAATAAAGCTTTTCAAATTTCTCCGGCGTAGTGTGAACTAGCCTAAGTTTTCACTATTAATGCTGTTAACGAAGAAAAAAAACACTAAAATAAAAATCAATGAAGATAAGTGTATGGCGAGTTGAGATATCTCCTTTATATTACTCGCTTCTCTCTGCAACACTGTTTGATTGCTCTGTGCTGGTATTTCGCAGCTTGCTTTCTTTCTCCAGTAGGTCGACGATGTCTTTGATTTGTTCAGGAGTAATATCTACATCTTCCATTGACAAAAGCTCAACGATCTGCAAGACGACACATGATTTGAATTATTTAAAGAGTGATAAAACTACAGTCGCACCCCTATTAAGCGGCCACCTATTAAACGGCCACCCCTATTAGGCGGCCAGTAATCAAAGTTCCGATGAGGCCTTGTCTAGTGTTTTTACCCCTATTAAACGGCCAGCCCCCTTTAAGCGGCCAATATCCATTTCCCCGAGGGTGGCCGTTTAATAGGGGTTGAACTGTACAAACAAAAGGTCATCACAGACATCAGGATACATCACAGACAGACAGGTTTGCATGGCTAACATTGAAACAGATTCTAGCTACTGTATTTAGCTTGTCTTACGAGCTTACAGATTGTGTACGGGTTCTCGATTTTCCCAGAAGTATGGCGGAAGCCCTAGGATTTCACGGTAAAGATCGTTTCCGGTACTATGCCGTCACCGTGATTCAGAAATAACGGAACCGAAAAACCGTTTGCCACGAACATCTTCAGCCTTGTCAATCAAAATTCGTTTGATAAAAGTTTTTTTTTTTATTATTTTTCGCTCAGATTCTCAACATCAAGGAAAACAATTCCTTTGATTAGCACTCCGATTACATATGAAACTAAAACCTTGTTTCACTTTACTCGTCCGACGGCTTTAATATGGCAGACGAACGGCTAATCTACGGTGAACCAGCTACGATATCATTGGTTTTCATCCCAGCTATCAGTTTACATGGCATCCACCGTGAGGAACAAGAAGTATGAAATTTCACTCTATGTAATTAAAAAAATCAAACATTCGGGAAGAGGTATTTTTGTACTGACTTCGAGACCGACTCGGATAATTTTGCGTCAATTATTTACTTAAGATACATGCCACTGAGTATATCCATCTTGAGTTCGTTTCATTTCCTTCTCTATTCTCAATGCTATTTTCATTCTCTTTTAATTAGTGTCCAAATCAAGCGTGAAATTTTGATGCTACAATTTTCCGTTACCGATCGTTTCCCATGATCTCTAGACAGACTGGACACGGAACTAAATGATGAAATTTCAAATCCTACGAATTGTAAGACTTAAATGTAATGATAACACTTGTCACTTACCATTCCCACGTCACCTAGGTCGAGCGCGCCATCGTGATCCTGATCTAGCATTTCGGCGATTTTTTGGCATTTAGCTTCACTCGGAGCGTCTTTTAATCTGCGCACAGCAGATATCATCTCCTGCAAACTGATCTTACCATCACTGAAACAAAACAAAACCGGGTACGTTGATATTTAAGAAATAGAAAATATGTACCGTGTTACTATCGAGATTTAGTAGAATTCTACCACTATACTAATGCAAATGCCGTAATCTGATTGGCTGAGCCACTGCACACTATCAGCCATTAGTGTAAAGTGGCTTGGTGTGGTCGACAAAATTAAAACGTTTCCCCGTTTCTCCGAAGTTTCGAAAGAACATTTATAAACAAATGAATAAACAAAATTCCTCAGAAAACTAAAAGGAGTGCATTAACGGTTTCTTGGATTAAAAAAGCTCAAATTTTTTTAAAGAAACTGATACGCGCGCGTACACAACCGCAAATGTCAAATTGACGATTAATTCAGTCCGCGCAAATTCTCTAAAGTCTGAAGTTTAATACTAAGACCAGAAATAATTGGAATCGTTATTTGACGCAAATTTCAGTTAGAATTCTACTAATTCGCTCTCGATTTCTATGAGGCGATAGTTGATTCGGCCTTCGGCCTCATCAGCTATCACCTCATAGAAATCTCGACCTCATAATCTTATTGTTAAATAGAAACACGAATGGAAGTTTGGGAGAACGAGTAGAAACACGGAGAACATGTTTTCTATTTCTTTTAGAAAACACCGCGACGAAAAAAAAGGAAAACAACTTTAACTTTGATTATCAAAATGTAAATTCTCTTTGTTCGCGCCATCATTACGTCAACAGCTCGTGCTAGTTATGTGTTTCTATCGAGTTTTAGTATAAATCTACTAGCGTTCTATCACGAATACTGCTCTTCGATTGGCTATGCTACTCACTATTTATCAAATAGTAAGATTATTCCCTCTCGATTTCTATCGCGCGATAAAAATCTAGAGCGAATAATCTAATTGTTTTAGTATAAATCTACTAGTCGTTTAAAACTGTCTAAATCCCCTTCACGGATACTTCGAAAACGCCAACAAGCAGCCATTATTTTGTTAACAAAGGTACCCTGCTACGCTACTGACTATCTATCACAGAGTAGATAGTGAGTAGCGTAGCCAATCAGAGAACGGCATTCGTGATAGAACACTAGTAGATTTATACTAATCTGTGATAGATAGTGAGTAGCGTAACAGTATACGATTGCTAACAAAATGACGGCCACTTCTTTGCGTTTTCGAGATATCTGTGAGGAGGATTTTTAACCAATGAGCACGCGTATTTTCTTAGGACTGTTTTCTAATATAAGTTAAGGGAAGGAAGGACTAATGTACAATAAGGTATTATCACTTATTACCGACAGTAAAAGTCTTCGTGAACTTTAGATACCGCGGTGTGGAATGAAAGACTTCAAAGAGCATGAGGTAAGCTCGTAAACATCAGTACTTTCCCTCCCCTCCTCTATCACTTCACTTTTAAATTATCTCGACATTAAAGGGACTTGTTTGCCTTGTACGTTTTCGTCACATACAGGCGAATAATTTGGTTTTCCCAAGCCAAATGAAAGATAGTGAGACTCACCCGTCGGCATCAAGCTGGTGTTCTGATGGCTGTTCATCTATTTCAGTCTCTAACAGCCTCAAACGATCTTCAATCTTATTTATCATCAAATCCACTTTTCTACCGAGTCGAGATGAACCAAGTGATTCTTTAAGCACATGTTTTTCATCCTCAGATGCCAGTTCGCGAAGTTCCTAGGGGGCAAGAATCAGGACAAGTTAGCTATGAGTCTGTCACCACTGAAGGTACACTGCAGTAGTTAGATTTGAATCACTGTACCTCTTGATATTCCACTCTGTCTTCCTTGATTCTCTCCAGTTCCTCTCGTTCATTAGCCTGAGCGAGGCTTGCTTTAATTGATAACCAGTCTTCCTGAGAAATATCCTCCTCAGCAGTTGGTTGGACTTCTGGAGCTTTGTCCTTCAGAAAAGTTTCGAGGAAAATAACAGAATGAATGGTGAAACGCTCGCCGTAGAAAATGTCCCTGTCGTGACGTGTCTAGAACTCGACTAAACCAGAGCAAACTACTTTACTCTTAGCAGACAGTATTTCCTAAATGACAAGCAACAAATTTCCTTGATGGTAACACATTTGGGATCACTCAAAACAGACAAGTATGTCTAAAACCAATATCGTTTTTTCCTCCCATGGACATTTACACATAAGGAAACTGAGAACTCTTGATTTCCAACAAGAATGTTATTGTTTGGCAGCATCAATAATTATGGCTACATGACATCATATCCAAAATGCTCTTTCATCGTCAAATACTGGTGAGCTATATTGGATAATGTTTGCGATTGAGACATTTTCATATGGTGGATTAAAGTTTGAAATTTTGAAAAAAAAAAGTCGCGTTACGTTAATACTACTACATGTGTCATAACGGTTACGGAATATACCTGCAAAATCTCAGCAGCAATGCTTTCAATCTGTAAAAATAATAATGACAGTGAAAAAGTCAACAAACTTATAAGGCAAAAATGAATAACCAGTCACAAACAGTTTTTTCTTTTTTTTTGTGCATTTTGGGGATGTTGTAAGACAAGTTGACTACCAATGTTGATAAGAAGACAGGCCACGTGCGCCAGAGCTTTTAGTGGCTTGTGAAGCATAAATTAACTAAGACTATTTCTACTCCCCACTGGATGGGATGCTAGTCCCGCATTGCATGTATTCATGATGTACACCTGGCATGGGTGGAGAGAGGCACTGTGAGAGTACGGTGTCTTTGCCGAGAACACAGTGCAATGAACTCGTCCAGGGTACTCTCTTGAGAGTCCATCATGCTAACTATTTAAGGCTTACCTACGATGCCTAAAAGATTACCCCTTGTATTAACACTGCAGTCATCACAGGTACAATGATAAGATAGTCTGTTGGAGAAACACAGTTGTGTGCAAATGATTAAGCTACACACCTTTCTCTTTTTTTCCTCTTCCTCTTGAAGAAGTTCTTCATTTTCCTCAGCAATCATTTGCTCTTCTTTCTTCAGAACATCTAAACGAACTTTGTTGTCCACTTCTTCTCCAGAAACTTCACAGATTTTTATTTCAGCCTCTTCCACCTGAAGACAAACTCATTTGTTGGTCGAGTGTCACACATGAGCCTATAGTTAGGAACTAGTGACAACTGTGACTTCAAGAATAATATTTAAATTTTCAGATTAATTATGTACATGTAACTAAAATGAATGTACTTTCCAGTTATTAATCACTTCTCTTTACCCACTTGAGGTGAGAAAGTTTTTTTACCCTTTGTCTTTGAGGTCTAACAGGAGCTTGCAAACATTACAGTGTGGAGTGTTGAGCACATGGTATTACTCACCAAGGTCTCTGGTAGTTGGGATAATGTTTCCTTGAGTTGATCAACCTTACTGACATTTTCTGGAAGGTACAGTGCTCTGGACATTAGCAACAGAGATGCAGGGATTTGCTCATCCAGGTGCAGTTCCAACCACTACAAACAAAAAATAATGACAATTAGGATGAACACTTGCCATATTCCCTTCAATTTAGCACTAGCTAATCCAATACAATTATTGTCACACATCACAGTTAGCAGAGGGAGACCAGGCTCTGACAACCGCGAACAAATGACATAGAGGTCTTCTATTTACTTTACAACTTTTGCTGAAAGTTATATTTGAACAAAGGGCTACAGTTTTAACAAGCTTAAATGAAGACGTGTAACCTACATTACTTATTATATTTAATTTGTCTTGCATGTTCTCCAAAACGACATGAAATATACACAGTCACCATCTACATGCATTATTAGTTTTAGAATTCACCACTGAAGATAACTAATTGGAAGATAATGATTGCCACAAAACATTGAACATGTAATGTAAATGTAAGTTCATTAATTAATTAATATTTTTTGATTGCAATATGTTGTAAGTCTAATAATTACATGACTGTAGAATGGTGTAATGGTGTAGTGGTATTACACAGAGTCTCTGCCAAACTGCAGCAAGAAGCAGCTACACACTGTAAGAATATAGACTCAGATGTCAGTCTCTGACAAGGCACATGCATCCCTAGCAAATTGCTCATAGCCACTTAGAGACCTGAAATGGATTCTTTCAATTAAAATAAAATGCCTAAAGATGAATTTTGACAAATGAAAAAGTTCCTAGCACATCAAACTCAGGATATCAGCATAGGAGGAAAGAGATATACCTGGTTAAGCTGTGACCTTAATCTGGCTGCAGGAACACCAATAGCTCTCATACCACGAGCCTGGCAAGCAGACTGTAATTCTTGCACTGTCAGGCTATCAACACCTTCTCTTTGAATTAACTGATGATTGAAATAGACATAATAATAAATTTTACCACTACTTCTGATCAGCAAGTCTACGGCACTAAATATAATTTTTCTAAAAGGAAATTTACAGGCATAACATATTTGAGGTTGTGCATTGCTTCCTATGAGCAATTTACTCTTGCAATCTACGGAGGTTACTAGAATTTTACAACACTGCAATTAACTGCTAAGAGATAAATCTCAGATATAATTATATGTAAATCAGAATGTTATCTAACTAATGCTTAAAGTGCCCACATGCATTTGAATTACCCTTACATTATCTGGATATTGTCATTATTCAGTAATAATTGTTGTTTTTGCAGGTTAATTTTTCTCAGAATAACTCCAATACATTTAACTTGTCCGAAACAGGAATCATTAANATTTGAAGAAAATTGCCGACCCGAAGGTATACTGTAACCTTAATAAGATTAATTTTGTAATTAAAACATCAAGAATAATTTCTGCACTCAGAGTGCAATTAAATATCTTATTAAAAGTGGAATAGTTGGTTTGGTTCCACCGAGCTTCATCAGCCACAATAAAAGGAAGAAAAGAATGGCAGAATTCCATTTCTTGACACTAGCCTACACCTGAACGACTATGGTTCAACAAAGGTCACCATATACTGCAAACCGACTCATACTGATCAATACCTGAATTTCCATTCTAACCATCATCTACAATATAAAAGAGCTGTAGTTAGCCCTCTGCTACTTTGAGCAGAGGTGCATGAAGATGACAAAGTAAAGGAAATTCAACACGTTTTAAGCCTTGAAAGTCAACAACTACCCTGATTGGATGCCAACAATACTGAACACTGGATCAGGTTTGAGAGAGTCCGAAGAATCTGTTAACTTGAAGAGAGTATATGCTTCAATGCCATACAAAGAGCATTTAAATCACACCAGGCCACACTTGTCCACAAGCCTTGCAATTCCTTGCAATCACAACTAGTACACTGCACGTGTTTTAAGGATAAAACAGAAAACCTTAAAAAGTGCAGAACAGTCTATTACATCCACTGCGAACAATGTAACAAAGAATATGCTGGCGAAACTTCTCGTTTATTAAAAACTAGAGTAGAGGAACATCTTTCAAGGAATTCGTCAGCTGTTCATCAGGGTTTTCAAAATTAGCCTTCAAGCATTTGTGCCACATACTTTTTTGTCACAAAGTTAACTTATACACAGTATTATTTCACCAACATAATCATGATCCACTTTTTCTGAGGTAATAAGTGAACAGCTGAAAAAGGTAACAGTGTGGCTATTATATGTCAGTAG